TTTATGTATGTGGAATTCTGTGACCAAAATCATTATTGTGATGACTAATTAAGGATCATTGTTTTAAGTTTGGAATAATGGAAGTTTTCACTCTATACGGGGAAGAATCTAAGGATTGGGGAAGTAAAAATGATTCATTGTGATAGCAAAAATTTAACTTTTGGTTCTATGAGAGAAAACATTCAGGCCTTGTATGCAAAGAATCTTTGATGCGAGCCTTATATGTGATCAAAGAAAGATTCCTAGAACTACATCCCTGTAATAAAGGTTGTGTCATGAAGGTGGAATGGGAGACAGGGAAGGAAGGTCTTCCAGAGGACAGGAAGTAGCTCTAATCAGGATGGGAAAAGCCACCTTGGAAACAAGATGGTGGTTGTCAACCGTAGGTTGAGGTTGCCACTCCTTTGATGAATGGGAGAGTTACTCTCACTCTCTGCTCCCAGTGTGGGGGCATCATGTGAAAAGCAGTAACTGTAAGTAAGGGACCGTGGCATCCAAAAAGAAACAAGCAAGAATTATCAAGTAAGTGGAAGGGTGTTTTGATTAAAGAGGACTTGAAAGGGGATTCTGGATTGTTCCCAAGTCATTGCATATGTTCAAATATTGGGAAATATAGCAGTGAATGCATCCCAAGGTAACCTTGCAGAAAACGGGTGGTGTTAAAGGATTTTTCAGACCTAAGCACCAGAAATTCTAAGCTACTCTTGGTTTATTGTTAGAAATAGATGATGTAGCATATTTCTGTAAAAAATTTTTTTTAAGTTTATTTATTTTGAGAGAGAGAGAGAGAGAGAGAGAGAGAGAGAGAGAGAGAGAGAAAGACAAGTAGGAGAGGGGCAGAGAGAAGGAGAGACAGAATCCCAAGCAGGCTCCACCCCATCAGCACAGAGCCTGACATGGGGCTCAAACTTATGAACCATGAGATCATGACCTTAGCCGAGATCAAGAGTCGGATGCTTAACCGACTGAGCAACTCAGATGCCCCAGCATATTTCTTTTTAAAAATCTTTTATTTATTTATTTTTCTGCCGTACAGAGTTATAGAATTTTTTCTCGTGTGATGAGAGATTTTAAGGTCTGCTCTCTTAGCAATTTTCAAATATGCAATACAGCATTGTCAATTATAATTGCCCTGTTCTGCATTATATCCCCATGACTCATTCATTTTCTAACTGGAAGTTTGCACCCTTTGGCTCCCCTTACCCACTTTGCCCACCCCCTACCATCTGCCTCTGGAAACCACTAATCTGTTCTGTGTATCTATGAGCTTGGTTTTTTAATTTTTTTAATTATTATTGCTTAGGTTGCACATACAAATGAGATCATACAGTGTTTGTCTTACTCTGACTTATTTCACTTAGCATAATGCCCTTAAGATTCATCCATGTTATTGCAAATGACAAGATTTCATGCTTTTTATGGCTGAATAATATTCCATTGTGTGTGTGTGTGTGTGTGTGTGTGTGTGTGTGTGTGAGCATTTATCACATTTTCTTTCTCCATTTATCTGTTGTTGAGGTTTATGTTGCTCCCATATCTTGGCCATTGTAAATAATGTTGCAATGAACATGGGTGGGCAGATATCTTTCCAAGTTAGTATTTTCATTTTCTTTGGATAATTACTCAGAAGTGGAATTGCTGGATCATATGGTAGTTCTATTTTTAATTTTTTGAGGACCCTCCATGGTGTTTTCCGTAGTGACTGCACCAATTTACATTCCCACTGGCAATGCACAAGGGTTCCTTTTATCCGCACCCTCGCCAGCATTTGTCAGTTCTCATCTTTTTGATAATAGCCATTCTAACAGGTGGGAGGTGATCTCACAGTGTGGTTTTGATTGTCATTTCCCTGATGAGTAGTGATGTTAGACATCTTTTCATATACCAGTTGGCCACCTGTATGGCCAACATACAAATCAGATTATTATTATTATTATTATTATTATTATTATTTTGTTACTGAGTTGTACAAATTCTTTCTGTATTTTGGATATTAAGCCCTTATCAGATATATGATTTGCAAATATTTTCTCAGTAGGTTGCTTTTTCATTTTGTTAATGGTTTCCTTTGCCGTGCAGAAGCTCCTTAGTTTGATATAGTCTCACATGTTTATGATTGATTTTGTTGTCTTTGCTCTTGGTGTCAAATCCAAAAAATCACTACCAAGACTGATGTCAGGGAGCTTACTCCCTATGTTTTCTTCTAGGCGTTTTATGGTTTCAGGTCTTACATTCAGCCCTTTAATCCATTTTGAGTTAATTTTTGTGTGTGATGTAAGATAGTGGCCCAGTTTCATTCTTCATATTTCTTTAATATAACTTTGTGGTAAGAATATTTGTCTTATATTTCAAATCCAAGGAGTACAGGAGAATGGCATATACCCCTGTTGGTATTATATGAAACGGACTACCTGGGGAAATCATGAAGCTTTGTACATGTTATGGTACCATTGCAGGAAGGCAATGAATATTTTTCTCTCTGCTTACCTTAAAAAATACTCACATATCTTATTTAAAAAATAGCAACTATTGTGGCGGTGATGCTGGTAGACAAGAAGTTCTCCTAGGACCGTATTAAGCTATTAGTGCTATTTGTTGAAGATTAGGAATTACTAAAGGAAACCATATGACTATTGTTTGTTCTATCTTTCTGCGAGGTTCTCTTGAGTTTCTTATAATGATTAGTAATAAAGATGGGTATTCATTTTTATGCTTTTTAAAATAAAGGTATGACATTGATTTGGTATAATGATCATGATTTTATTTATTTATTTATTTATTTATTTTTTAATTTTTTTTTTTAATTTTTTTCAACGTTTATTTATTTTTGCGACAGAGAGAGACAGAGCATGAACGGGGGAGGGGCAGAGAGAGAGGGAGACACAGAATCGGAAACAGGCTCCAGGCTCTGAGCCATCAGCCCAGAGCCTGACGCGGGGCTCGAACTCACGGACCGCGAGATCGTGACCTGGCTGAAGTCGGACGCTTAACCGACTGCGCCACCCAGGCGCCCCATGATTTTATTTTTAAAGGCATAATTGAGTAGACTAGAATTGTTATTTGATAACATTTATACCTCATTGCTCTTTAGACCTCAAGGTTATAACCATGACATCATCCATCTGGTGGTGCTATCCTCATTTCAGGCCAAGTATCACTTTTGCAAATTCAAACTTGAAATTGACATTTCATGCCATGGCAACTCTTTTATTCAGTAGTCTTTCGGTAATTAATATTTGATCTGCAGGAAAAAATAAAGAATTGACCTTAAACAAGATGCTTTAGTACTTATATATTCTCATATTAATTTTGTGTCTAGCAGAAGATTGGCTCATCAAGCCAGTTTTGCACAACATTTGGAAAGTGGGCTGCTAAAAGGTTAGTTTATTATAGACACCTAAACTAGCGGTGAATTTCCAAGCTATTTATATTGGTAAGATGCAATGGCCTGATCTGTACTTCTTGCTGAATAGACCTTTTTCTTCTCTTCATTTGTAAATTGTTTGGAGACAGTTTTTTTTCTTGCATAGGGAACACAATGCTGACAAGTCAACCTAATATCAATAGGATGATAGCCTATGAATGTTTTTGACGACTAAGCACCCTTACATGGATTTCCTGTTGTCCCCTGAATCTCTCTACTGTGGGAAATTTCAATACGGAACAGAGAACCTCTCACTGCCAGTTTTGTGCCTGAAACACAAGAAAAGATGAACAGACGTCTGCTGCATTAAAAAAGGACACAGGCATGCATTAAATCCCTTATGTCTTACTTTTTAATGATGCAATTGTGAATTATGTTCTTGTTGCATTTGTAATTAGAGGCTGCAGCAGATGGCGAAGACTTATTTTAAAGTGATGTGTCTATTAAAATAAGCCACACTGCCAAATGATTGTTCACTGTAACAGCATCTTTACGCCCCTAAAACACTCCGATTCTTTGTTGATGTGCAGTTGATTACCACAGCTGATTACATATGTGCACATATTTGCTCAGAAATGTATCAGAGATATTTGATATGTGCAATACTTTATTTTAAAGTGTGTGTTATCACAATTATAGATAATGAAGCTTTCAATGAATTATTCAGTCACACCATCTACAAAGGGAATGCACTGATTTCCCTTTTCAATAAAATGAGGCATGAATCTTTCTAAACTATTGAGGCTAATTCTCCCTACATGGTGGGAGAAGCATTGAAGGGCGAGTGGGGAGTTTCTGGGTATTGAAAGATTCTCTTATGCACATTCTTATGAAGAACAGCTTTGATTTGGGTGAACTCAGTTCATGGATAGTGGTGGAATCTCAGGCTAAGAGTGGGAATGGAGAGGACTAGGCACTGAGGGAGGGCCAGGTAAAAATGGAAGAGAGGAGGTAGTCAGATTGACAGTATGTATTAGAATAGGTTAGGCTGTGATAACAGACGGCACCTAAATCTCACTGGCTTATAATGACATAGTACCGAAATGACATTTCTCTCTCTGGCTACATGTTTATCCTGAAACATAAAAGGTGTTCTCCTTGTCATAATCTGTAGGGACCAGGTTGATGGAGGTTACATCTCAATACAGGGCTACACAATCACCTTACTAAAGGGAAAAGCATGGTGTCACTTAACAACTAGCTTTTAAAACTTCTTGGTGGAAGAGTCACATGGGCGCTTCCACTCATCTCATTGGCCAGAGCAAGTCATGTGACTAAGCCTACTATTAAGAGGACAGGGAAGCGTAATCCTACTATTAGCCTGAAATATTTGGTGAGCGACAATTATGACCACCTCATGATGTAGTTTTCTGCAAGGCGATGTGTCCCTGAGACAGTTCCTCTACTTGGGTACGATGGCTACTTCATCTCCATCATTTTGGTCCCGAAATAGCATCAGATTGACTATTTTATGTTCCACAGTGTGCATAAAGACTTTTAGAAGAGGGTGTGTGTTACCTGGCGGGGTAGAGACGTCTGCCGGTTTAACATTTTCCAAACTGTGTTCTCTTCAAAGGTGTTAATGCAGAAATAAGGATTGCGTGGTGGTCAACGGAGTCTGGGAGTCTGTGGGTAAGTTACACAAATTACTTTTCAGAGCCTTTAATATGTTAATATGAGTGTCTATAAGGCCTATACAGCATGTGGTATTTCCAATTCTATATCATATCTTTTTGGAGAGCTTCTACGGGATGGTGTTTTGTGGGAACACATTTTGGGTTGCTGCTTTGGTCTCTCCCATCGGTACTTGGTTGTATGTTCGGTCACTATTTTGGTTTCTGGGCTGATAAATACATTAAGATGCTTGGAGGGTCACATGCCCAGAGAGGGCATGGAAGCTCCAGGCATCCTTACCCCATAGCTGGCTCTATTCATCTCTTCTATTTTACTATTCCTGAGTTGCACCCCCTTATGATACACCAGAAAACATACGAGTATTTTCCTGAGTTCTGTGAGCTGTTCTAGCAAATTTTGAAACCTGAAGAAGGGGTTTGGGGGACCCTCAATTTGCAGCAATTGGTCAGAAGTAGAGGTGGTCCAGGACTTGAGACTGGCATTTGAAGTAAGGGCAGTCTGTGGGACTGAGCTCCTTTAACTTGTGGGATCTGGTGCTAACTCCAGGTGCTTGACGGCAGGGCTGAATTGAATTGTTGCACAGCCATTTGTGTCTGGAGAATCAGAGAGTGAGTTGTTGGTGCTGGAAAACACAGCAAAGTTGTTGGAGCCTCTCAAGGGAAGGTGGCCAGGCTTCCAGCGCCCCCTTTCCTCCAGCACTCTTTCCCCCCTAGCCTGGAAAGAAAGAAGCATGATTTTGACGGGGGGGGGGGGGGGCCGGGGACATTTTGTGAGAGGAAAATACATGTCTTACATGAAGCTATGAACCAGCATTAGAGGGTGGAATTAGGACTGGCAGTTCTAGATTGGGGAGCATCTGATGTCATAACTCCATACCCAAGAAATCATTATAATTCTCTTCTGCCATTAAGTAAAAATATATTATATAATGTAATAATAGTAACTTATATCTAAGTATATATTATTGTATATAAATATAAATAAATATATAACAATAATAAATATTTTTTCAACATGAGTTTGAACTGTGGGGGTTCACTTATACATGGATTTTTTTCAGTATAATACAATAATGTGTTTTCTCTTATGGTTTTCTTAGCATTTTATTTTCTCTAGCTTTCTTTATTGTAAGAATACGTATACAAGACATATACAAAATATGTGTTAATCAACTTTATATTATTGGTAAGGCTTCGGACTATTAGTAGCTAAATTTTGGGGGAATCAAGAGTTATATGTAGATTTTTGACTCACAGGGAGTTGGTGACCCCCACGTTATTCAAGGGTCAATAATATATGTGTATGTGTGTGTGTGTGAGAGAGAGAGAGAGAGAGAGAGAGAGAGAGTGTGTGTGTGTATGTGTGTGTGTGTGTGTGAGAGAGAGAGAGAGAGAGAGAGAGTGTGTATGTGTTGTGCGGGTGTGCATTTATATTTATATGGATAAAACATCTAAAACCAGGCACGTGATAAACACTCTGCAAATGTTTCTTCTTAGGCTAGTACAATAATAACAATGGCAAAAATGGATAACAGTTTTGAATACTTTATACGTATTTCTAAGCACTGTGCTAGATTTATGGATTATCTCATTTTGTTTTTGAAAACAACGCTGTGAGAAGTGGCTACTATAATTATTCCCATTTTTAGAGATGAGGGTACTCAGATTCAGATAGGTTAACATATTTGTCCAAAGACACAAACTTAATAAGACACAAAGCTAGGATTAGATGAACCCGGAAGTTTGACCGTGTTCTTAACCATTTTGCCACTATAACTACTGTTCCTTATGTTTGGTAGCGTTTAATGGTATTTAAAACACATATGTAGAAACTATACCATTTGTCCTCCATAGTAGCACTGTTAAATGCCATGTTCTCCATTTTTATTTTTTTATTCCTATTTTTTAAAGTTTATTTTTATTTATTTTCTGACAGAGATAGAGAGCAAGCAGGGGAGGGGCAGAGGGAGAGGGAAGCAGAATACTAAGAAGGCTCGACACTGTCAGCACAGAGCCTGGATGTGTGGCTCAAACTCGAACCGTGAGATCATGACCTGAGCTGAAGTCAAGAGTTGGACACTTAACCACCTGAGCCACCCAGGTGCCTCTCCATTTTTAAAGATAAGGAAACTGAGTCTCAAGTAGTTAGTTGAATCATAATTTACAGGCAGGCAACTTGAGTTCTGGTCTGTCCTTTTCCTAATGTATATCTTCTTTCTCCCCACTTCTGTTTTATCTAGCCCCATTCCTTTTTCTCTCATTTTCTTCTCCTTTCTCCCTCTATCCTACAATCTGGATTTGTAGAATGTGAACAACTGGGAAATAATTTCTTGGGATAGTCATACAGAAGCCCAGAGAAGCAGTAATAGAATGGTAGGTGAGGAATGCAATCACCAGGCCCCAAATAAATTAATGCAAATACCACTACATTGCCTTCAATTTAATAAATCTTCACCCAACATATGCTGTGTGTCAGGTCTTCTCCTTCATAACTTTCCCTTCATCACCCCTTTATCCAAAAAATAAAAGTAGGGGGGAAGACAGGGCTACAGGGAAATTGGACCGGGAGAAGGGAACCAGAGACCATGGAAAAGTGGGAAAAGATGGGCTATTGACCCACATGAACGTGGTTCACTGAGTAAACTCTTAGCTCTCTTTCACCCATACAGCCAATGTGCTACAGGGAACCGCATGGAGCCATAAGGGAATGACCTCACTGCATTCTCCATGTAAACGAAGGGTATTTTGAGTATAACAGTGAGCAGCTTTTTGCATCATGAAAGGGACAGCCCTAAAATTTCAGCATTTGCCGCCAACATTTAGTGCGGGGTTAAGTGACAGCTGTTCCTTATCCTGGGTCAGGAAATGTGGGTGAGGTGCAGGACTGTACCAGTAAGCACAGTAAAGCTAGAACCTTCAAGAAACTGAAGAGCTGAATGCCTTGTAGCTATAGCTCTTCAGAGTTGCATACTTTTACTTGAATAATGAAGCTGCTCTTTTGTAATAGACTGAATTATTTAAAATTTGAAAAATTATTTTACAGATGTACATTTGCCTCGAGAGTCACAAGCCTTCAGATGATTTTGGAGACATTTTTTTTCTTTTCTTTTTTGAGTTGATCAGTGTTTGTAAAAACTTGATTTTGAATGCCTCACTTAACATGCATGCTTTCTCCAGGTAGCTTCTTTGTCCAGTAGAGGCTTGGATTAAGTCAATGACTCTCTAGAAGCTGGTGAGGGTTTTGGCGCGGGGCGGGAGATCCATAGGTGGGTTCTTTCATAATATTAATGTTTAGAATAATAATGAATCTGCTTATATTCTTGGCAGGAATGAGTAACTTTGGATAGTAAAAAACACTTGTGTCGTCATGAATAGACCAACCATTAATCTAACCAGGCATATAAATGTTGGTGGGGCTTTTGTAAGACCCAGGTAGCCTGCAGCCAGCCTGTATTCTTTAAGCCAATGGCCATTGTGTTTTCCCAAGAGATGATTATGCCAGGATGGCTTCTCAGCTCACAAGAAGGCAGTGGGATGCAGCTGAATATATTTGTTAAAACTGGAGACCTTTATTTTCATCCTGGCTTTGCCTATAACACAATGTCACCTTGTGGAAATTGCTGATTATCTCTGATTTTGGTTCCTCATCTGGAAAATGTGGAAGTTGGTGAGGTGATCATCAATGCCCTGTCTAGCTTTAAAATTCTATGATGCCGGGAATATGGTTTGCCCATCAGTGAGAAGTCACTGAGCCGACCTTGGAAACTGCTTCATGCCAATTAATCTCTTCCCTCCCTTTCGTGGAAAATAATCAGAAAAACGGTTTCATATTGTAAAGCACGAATGTTTCTTTGGAACCCTCTTTCACTGCCTTATAAAAACCAAGTGGCTTACCACCATCCATTTGTGTCTGAGACAAGTGTTAACAGAAAAGATTTCCATAGAGTTAACTCTTGAGATGGAGGTTGCTGTATGAGTTTGATAACTGGTTACCAAGAGGCTGGGGAACATGAGAAGGAGGAGGAGGAGGTGGGCTTGAAAATCTTTTTCGCTTTTGTGATGCTTTTCAAAGCTGCCCTACTGGGAACTCACTTTGATCAACACACACAAAAAGGATCAGTTTTGGCTATTTTTATATTGTAAAGCCCCCAGTGATGTTCTGGCATCTTTGAGAATGAGAGTTGCTAGCTGGGCACAACCTCTCTTGTCTACATTATCTCTTCCTATCCTCCCCACCCCCGATCTCCTCCCACCCTGGGAGCCTGTGTTTATTTCCCATTCATTGAAGCTCTGAATTTGATTCTGGTTGTCTCCACAGCTGGCTCTGGTCCACCCTGAGTCCAAATCCTCCTTGGTATTTGGGTTAGTTCTGGTGGGGTGCCAGGAACTCTTTATTTATTTATTTGTTTGTTT